TCTCTGTCCGCAAAATATTTTCACAAGGTATCAGATTAGTATCTTCAGCGATATATGGCGAAATTGATACGGACTTTTGTTGAAAATAATATGATAGATGTTTTAAGTAAATAAAACATTTTTTTAAAGAAGAAAAATTAAATTTAAAGCCATATTCAAATGTAGAATTTTTTTTTTAATTTTGCAACTGGAAAAGTGTTTATAGTTGTGACAAGAACGCGATTTTGAATGACACGAAGTAACATACACAGAACTAATAACGTCATCTTCCGATTTTAGAATATAAAGAAAGTAACTATTTCATTCAACTTTGATTTTGTTTTACGTACGCTATGAAATCCAGGTACAATTTTCTCGCACTAAACTTATAAAATTTACGTTATCTATTTGGATTCTAGATCTAGATCTAGAGCTAGATCTAGACTAGATCTACGCAAAAAACTAGACGTAGACGCTAAGATCTAGATTCAAGATTTAGATTCTATATTTAGACTCTATTTACTCTAGAATCTATTTCAATAATAAATTTCTATATTAAATTGTTAAGGTCTTAATTATTTTATAGAAATCTTTGTTTAGCTATGGAATAGGATAATTTGGGAATAAAATTAATTTGAAAGAATAGGCCTATTTATTCGCGTAAGGTTATTGTTTTTAAATACGTCTTCTATTCTTCAACAATTTTAGGTGCCTAACTAGCTGAGATGATACTGTCCATGACACCACGCGGGTGGTACAGGTTCGAGAAACACCAAATCACACTTGAATATTTTTTTTTTCAATTTTTTGTTTTATAAAATGTGAATTTTCCGATTTTAGAATATAAAGAAAGGAACTATTTCATTCGAATTTGATTTAGATCTAGATCTATAGATCTACTTATCAAGACATAAGCTATGAAATATATACAATTTTATCGGTCAATCTAATACAAATTACTTAAAAATACCAACATAATTACCATTGAATAGCCAGGTTTTTTACGGAATCATTTAAGTCTTTTAATCAGTGTGTGCATTTAATATGGTGTTCTGTTGACTAATAATGTATATAATTTGGTTTTAATTTTTTCAATACGTATTTGTAGCAGTAGCGTAGCGGGGGGGGGGGGGGGACATATCGATGGTCTCGGTCGCAAACCGTCTAACTCAAAAAAATTCGATTTTCTTTTTTTTTACATAAATCAAAAGCCAATATGATTCCCCATAATGCCTGAAAATTTTAGAGAAATATGTAGAATGATTATTTAGATATATTCATTTGAACAAACCGCCTAGTATTTCTAGCGCTAAAAATCTCGGCGCAAAACGAATATCGCTATATTTGTAGTACACTTTTGATCGGGAACGCAGTCTGACGCCGAAATCACACAATTTTACAGCACAGCAGTCACAGTACTTATAGGTAAGGATATTTGATTAATTATGTTCAACTATTCTATTACATTTTATCATTTTAAAGAATAATAAACAAATAGTATTTGTTTAATGTAGCCTATTTCCAGATTGTCAATAACAAAACTGATTTGTTTACAATTTTTTAGGCTAACACGATGCTTTGAAACTAGATCTTCATTCTAGAATCTAAATATCAATCAAAACAATATAATTCGAATTATATTTCCACAAGAATGTGCAATAAATTTAATAATTGTTAATTCACTACTAGATTTAGATTGAGGGTTTAGATACGTGTTAAGAAATGTTTATATGGTAGGTTACAAAATGTTTGGCGTACAGGTTCAACTACATGGTTAGTTGTCTTTAGTAAATGCTTTTATGATTAATTTTTCAACAGAGAAGCCTATCTCAACACACCAGCCTCTCTCAACATTCCAGACTCTCTGAACATACCAGCCTCTCTCAGCATACCAGCCTCTCACAACAGACCAGTCTTACCACATAACAGACCAGCCTCTCTTAACAGATCAGCCTCTCTCAACATATCAGCTTCTCTTAACAGATCAGCCTCTCAACAGACCAGCCTCTCTCAACAGACCAGCTTTTCTCAACATACCAGTCTTACCACATAACAGACCAGCCTCTCTCAAAAGACCAGCCTCTCTCAACATACCAGCCTCTCTCAACATACCAGTCTTATCACATAACAGACCAGCCTCTCTCAACAGACCATCCTCTCTTAACAGATCAGCCTCTCAACAGACCAGCCTCTCTCAACAGACCAGCCTCTCTCGAGAGACCAGCCTCTCTCAACAGACCAGCCTCTCTCAACATACCAGCCTCTCTCAACATACCAGTCTTACCACATAACAGACCAGCCTCTCTCAAAAGACCAGCCTCTCTCAACATACCAGCCTCTCTCAACATACCAGTCTTATCACATAACAGACCAGCCTCTCTCAACAGACCATCCTCTCTTAACAGATCAGCCTCTCAACAGACCAGCCTCTCTCAACAGACCAGCCTCTCTCGAGAGACCAGCCTCTCTCAACAGACCAGCCTCTCTCAACATACCAGCCTCTCTCAACATACCAGTCTTACCACATAACAGACCAGCCTCTCTCAGGAGACCAGCCTCTCTCAACAGACTAGCCTCTCTTAACAGATCAGCCTCTCTTAACAGATCAGCCTCTCTCGACATTACCAGCCTCTCTCAACAGAACAGCCTCTCTTAACAGACCAGCCTCTCTCAACAGACCAGCTTCTCTCAACAGACCAGCCTCTCTCAACAGACCAGGCTCTCTCAACATACCAGCCTCTTTCAACAGACCAGTCTCTATCAACAGACCAGCCTCTCTCAACAGATCAGCCTCTCTCAACAGATCAGCCTCTCTCCACAGACCAACATCTAAACATATCAGTCTCTCTCAACAGACCAGTCTTACCATACAAGACACTAGCATCTGTCAACTTACAAATCGTAAAGGCACCAGCATCTCTCAACAGACCAGCCTTTCACAACAGACCAGTCGTAACATTAAGGCACCAGTAGCTCACAAGAGACCAGTCTCTCTCAGCAGACCAGTCGTAATATACAAAAGACCAATCTCTCTCAACTGACCAATCTTACCCTCCAAGACACCAGCCTCTTTCAACATACACCAGCCTCTCTCAAAAGATTAGTCTTATGCTACAATAGACAAGCCTCTCTCAACACACCAGTCTTACCATACAAGACACCAGCCTTTCTCAACAGATCAGTCGTAACATACAATAGACCAGCCTCACATAACAGACATTAGACACCAACCTCTCTCAAAAAGACCCGCCTTACCATACAAGAGACCAGCCGATCTCAAAAGACCAGTCAGACCTATCAAGAATTCAAAGAGACAGATATTCGTGCACTGCAGTACAAACCTGATGCTACTGTCTACTAAAAAGTGAATTAGCAGATAGCTGGCAATTGCTAAGCTAGGGTCGTAAGATTATGATCTCATCTGTAGCCCCTGTCAAGTTGTACAAGAGCAGAAAAAAAAGATAAAAGCTGTCATATTTGAGCACCTAAAAGCAAGTCATAAACACACCTTTTTATGATGATTTCCCTGATTTTAAAAATATGTTGCCATTTTAATTTTTCTTTGTGTGACGTTTATTCAAAGAATAAATTTTAAAAATAAACACATTTTTTTGTATTAAATTTTGTAAAATAAGTAAACATTAAGTCAGTACGGCCCATTGCTCAGTTTAATCTACGTATGTTTTGTGCCACAATGTCAATATAATAGGGTGCTCCTTATAGCTTATGTGATTAGTGTGTTATGTCTCATTCATAATATATCTGACAATACGGTTTCTGTTTTTACTATTATCATTCTGCAAACCCAGCACCCACCAGATTTAGTAAAATAAACCGTGAGAATAGAAAGATGTAATAAATAAAGCATAACCTTCAACAGGTAACAAGTCTAGTGCTAAATACAGACATAATGAATACAGTCGAAAGCGATAAAGCCATACTAAAACATCTCCATTAAAAATTAAACTGACCCCATAATGTAGAATAAACTCAAATAATTAAAATATGAGCCCAAAACTATAATCTAAATATTATGAAGTGTTAATTATAACTTAAAAACATAAACATAACTAAATCACGTTCATTGGACAAAACGAACGAACGCGGCTGAGACCGAAATTCTCGGCTCAAAACAGCTATGTCTGCGCGCGCACAGATAGACGGTTTGCACCGAGAATTTTAGACCGAGCAAACCGTCTATCTTTTTAAACCTGCTATAATTTTGTAAATATCAACAAAACCCATTTTAAAACGCTACAGTATAGTCGGTAAAGAGTTTCTTCGGAGATATCTTTAAAAAAATGTATATTAGAGCGATCGAGAAGGAAATAATCAGTTTTTTGTCTCTCCTGTAAAATTTACATTTTCGGAGTTAGACGGTTTGCGACCGAGACCATCGAGATGTCCCCGGGTGCCGACCTTCGGGGGCGCCAAAATGGGTTGGAAAGATAAATTGAAAGGTTGAGTGGGGGGGTGGGGTGCAAATTGAAAGTTTGAGGGGGGGGGGTGCAAATCGAAAAGTTTGTCCCCGGGCGCCGGGAAGGGTCGCTACGCCTCTGATTTGTAGTCTGTTATTTTAAATGTGCCCGATTTATAGCTATTTAGATATTTCTTTGTTTTGTCAATAATATCTCAACGTATAGTGTTACATTTTGATCAATAACTATTTTATAACTTATTATTTCCAAATATGTATAGCATTAAAAATATATAGGCCTACAATTCATGTGTAACGGGTACCGAAGGCTAGTATAATATAAGTCACAACCGAAGTGTTGACTGTAGAGTGAGACATGGAATATCACTTGAATAAATATATAATTATCAGAGGGCTACTGCTAAGTTCTAATTCGTGTTCAAGTTATTAGAACGTCCATGAGTCTACCAAGCTATGATGGGTACCTAACGTACATAGTAAAAAGCAAAGGCGGCTGGGCATAGTGCCTACCACAGTAGCCCTTTCTACCAGTAGCGTAGCGAGGGGGGGGGGGGGGCGGGGAGGGACAAAATGGGTTGGAAAAATTAAATTGAAAGGTTGAGGGCGGTGCAAATCGAAATCTCGAGTGGGGGGTGCAAATCGAAATTTTGAGGGGAGGTGCAAATCGAAAAGATTGTCCCCGGGCGCCGGGAAGGGTCGCTACGCCTCTGCTTTGTATACCGAGGTCACTAAAACAGATGAACTCCACTTCATCTGCCCCATTTGCCTTGATACATATAACCTTATTTTTAAAAATCCATGTCTAATATTACAGCCGATAAATGTTCAAAATTTAGAATAGCTAGATAAAGAAAAACGTGAAATAATGTATGTTGTATAAGTATGATATAGGACATCTACACTAATCTAAATATGAGCAAACTCGAATATAAAAATAACATTTAAAAAATAAATTATTTCCAATATGTAACATCAATTTATTAGAATACACTGTTCAAAATTCAAGAGAAAAAGAATCTAAAAATACCTCGTACCACCTTAAAGAGATTTCCCCAAAAACCACCCGAGCTACCAACTGCTGTAGTTTCTGCTCGTGGTTTGTTTTCTATGGCTGTGTTCACCGCATAGTTTATGTTACTCAGCAACTCTCTAGAGTCGTTCAGCTGGTCTATCAATTTAGTGTCTTTTTTTAGATTGCTTACCAAAATTTCTTCCAAGTTCTGGGCTTCTTTCTTTAAATGCTCCAACTTTGACAATTGGCTGTAGCCGTAATTTCCAAGGCTTTTAAAATCGTCATAGATATTTTTAAATGCCTTAGCACATTGTATTCGAAAAGTGCGTATTTCTTCCGCTTTCTTCAAGTCATCGCTGCTGTATGATTTTCTTATCCACCTGATTTGTTCGATCAACTGATCGATCTGCCTGTCTATCACTTTCTTGTCTTTTGTTTTATTTGCAAAATATACAACACGTCTGCTACATTCCTCCAGCAGACGACGAAAATTACCTGTCTGTTTTAAGCACCATTCATTGAAGTCTGGTGCTTCTTCTTCGGTGTCAAACGACTCCCCTCCGTTCACAATCAGGATAATGTTATTTTTTACAGTTTCTTCTCCAAAAATATCTTTCAGTGTTTCAATAGCGCCTTCATCCTCCTTAGTAAACCTATAACCGTACCGTACGACCAGTAGCAGTGCATGATATCCTTCAGGACTAGCCGACATGGAAGTGACCAGAATGTCTGTCAGTTCTTCCTTAGACATGTCCGTATCACAAACACCTGGGGTGTCAACAACTTTTAAAACATAGCCTTTGTACTCAGAGGTTGCGGCTTCAATATGTTTTGTGACTGACGTTGCAGTGGAACTTGTCTTAAAAACTGTTTGCCGTAGTATGGTGTTTCCTGTTGTACTTTTGCCAGCTCCTGTCTTACCAACCAGCAACAGATTTATTTTCTCCAAGCCTTTACAATCTCCATTCTCTGAAATACGAGGTTTTATTTTCAATATATTCTAGGCATTCGTATTATAAATTACAGTAAGTTTACTAAAACTATGGTAAGAACTAGGATTTGATGTTATTTACTTAATGAATATATTACATAATGTAATAGTCCTCTTGCGAACTTATAAACGCCCTATATCCTGTAAAACAACGACATAGAGTTTATAAATCCATCCCCCTCCAACCATAATTCTAACAAGAAATCCCTTTATTTTAAAGGAATATACAAATTAAGCCTTCATACATTTCTTTAATCACCCAAACCCACACAACTGCGGAATATAATATTTGAATTTAGCTATGTAGTTAATTATGGACATCTCCTTAGACTCGTACCATTACAATATCATTACTATATCATTATAATATTTCTCAAAAGTGTTTGTCGCGTTGTTTTTAAAATACGTTGTGTATGTGAAGGCGAGGTATACATGTATTTCTCACCTTCGGATATGCACTGGCTTTCATCCCCCATTACATGTTCCACACTCAACAACAGCAAGAATACTGAAAATTGTAAACACATTCTTAATAACGTCATTTTATTTCAAGTAATAATAGTTTCATATTTATTTAATGCAGTTGCGGTAAAAGTTCTAGTTTTAGCAGTCATCAGACTACGCGTTATTCTTAAATAGCCGTGTGTTTCGGGGGTAATCCATAAATGGCGTCACGTTTGACGATTTTTATCGTTCCCCATCCGTTCCCACTGTCACACATTTTTTAAAAAAAGCCAGACCCCACATCATAGTTGAGTGATCAGTTAGGTACCCATCAGAGCTTAGTGGATCAGTTAGGTACATATCAGAGCAGAGTGGATCAGTCAGGTACCCATCAGAGCTTAGTGGATCAGCCAGGTACCCATCTCTTTAACTTTTCTGAAGTCTTTCCGTTTGCTAAAATTCTTTCCTCTCACTACTATATCCGGACATAAAATTGTGGATGTTACTTTCGGTTCAAGCATCGCGTCGCTGGGCTTTCAGGCGTGAAGGACTTCTTTACCACAGCTATTTTAAACTCAATGGATCCAGGTCACAGTAACTAACACACATTCTTTATCCATGTGTATTTTATGATAGCTGACTTGTGTTGCGCATTTTGATAAAAGTAGCATTTCTATAGAAAAAAATGTTCTACAGGGTGCTACTTTAAATTAGAATTATTATTGCAGATATTACCAGCTAATTCATGTTAACTAGATGCGAAGAAAATACAACTTAAGTTAAAGAAATTCAGCGATAATTTTCTTGTAGTTTATAGGCTACTTACTGTAATATTTCATCATGCTTGTGTTAATCTGCATGTTTGAAGTAGGCAATCCCTAGCTGGGATGAACTAATCTCTCTACCAAGTTGATGACTGATTGTGCAGCTGTATAAATCGCTTGATGTTCTGTACAATAAAACAGAGATATTAAAGATCGGCTCTTTTTGTAGTCCGTGTCTAAATTTCCTTGATCTCAAAAATAATTCCATCAAGCTGTAGTTTAGTGAAACCCGTGTCTAACTTTTGTTTAACCTTAAATACTAATTTTTAAAAATTTAACTGGCCAACTAACGTTACTCTCACTATTTCTACTTACGTCATCAAAAATGTAATTTTCCTAACTGAAACTCTAAAATAATATAAATGCATCTAAGTATCGTTATTAGCGATACCAGCTATACCAAAATATAAGTACAGCTAATCCACGCTAAACTGACAACAAAATCAAGTTAAAATGAAGGAATAAGTTTAGTCATATTTTGGCTGTCTTGTTGTACTAGAAACTGAGAGATAGCAAATGTGTGTTCAAATAAATCTAAACATTTCAGTTGTAAATTTTATTGAGTCTGCATCTTTACATTTAAACGAATGTGTTATAAATGTAAAAGATATTATACTTTAATGAGAAAGTATTTAAATAAATATATTGGTATAAGAACTAGTTTAATTATAAAATTCAAATAGTTTATAGATGTATAATACACGAGAAAAAAAAATGTTACCTTTAATTTGAACTTTTAGTACTAGCACCACTGCATCATTTAAAAGCTTCCAAATGAAACCTGTTCCGTATTTTTATAGAGGCAAAAGCATCCCAGAACAACACGTCAGCTCATGTAGGGAAATCCCCTTAATTTGTATTCATTTTTTGTTTTTTTCCTACATCTTCCGAAGTCGGAAAACCCAACATATTTGTAATCGCCTCTCTCTCTCCCTCTCTCTTTTACTTTCTCCCTCTCTCTCTCTCACACACACTGTGCGTGTGTGTGGAAATTTGTGTGCGTATGTGTGTGTGCGTGCGTGCGTGTGTGTGTGTGTGTGGAAACGATAATTTCAGTTAGGTTGGCTAAATATTATCTATAAGTATAAGAAATAAAAAGTTAAATGGACGAGATTTTACATAAAATGATAAGATCTCATAGATTTTTTTAAAATGAGAGTTAGCCAATATCCGGAAGGTTTTTTTTACTCAATTTCCGATTTATTAAAATCCTTCAAACTTTGATTGCATTATTCTTGTCTCATAAAGCAGCATTTGAAAGAATTTTTGCTTCCAAATCTATGTGTTTTCTCGAAAAAATGCATGGAATTTGTTCGTACCATGATTAATATATATTTTTTCTGATATAAACTTTCAGTAAAACCCTTTAAAATGATGTAATTTTGGGTTTGCCCGAAAATGTTGTTAACTCTCGCTCACAAGAAAAAGTGTCTACGTATTTTCTGCAGTATAACATAATAGTAGATGAGTGTTGCCTCAGTGGATTCTGCATACTATACATAATACACGTAACGACGTTTGTACGTGTTACGAGTTTAAATATTTCATGCAAGCTTAACATGACCCGGGTTCGAGTCGTTATGAAGTCACTTAGTCAGAGTGTCTTCCAGGCATTTCTTCGGGGGGGGGGGGGGGCTCTATAATTTATATAGTAAACATACACTTTTACTAGTGTCCGCCAACCTCCCCCCCCCCCGAAAATATCAAGTGCCCCCCCCCCTCCCGGAGAAAAAAGTCTGGAAGAAACACTGCACTGAGTTCACCCAGCTCTCATGGGTACCTGACTCACGTTTAGGAAACCAAGTCGGTTTGGCATAGTGCTGACCATTCTATCCCTTTATATCACTGAAACAGATGAACTCTACTTGATCTGCTCCATATGTCTTGGGCAATGACAATAATAACGAAGTAGAATTGGCACATGAGAGAGCCAGTTCTTATCACCAAAGACTAGCACACACCTCAAGTGTCTATAATACCAATAACTTATGTACAGTTTCAGTCTCTTTGGGTGGACAAAGGCTATGGAAGCAAAACCAGAAAGAAAAACATATTGAAGCAATATAGCCCATAATATAAGTAATGTACCCTTTTTAAACTTACGGTAGAATTCACATGTTTCTGTGACCTCGTCATATGAAGAGATAGTTTGAGTAGCACTAAGCCCAGCCGCCTTTACTTTCCCTTACGTGGCTCAGGTGAATTCTATTTCATCTGCCACAGCCATCTTTGCTTTTCCTATCATGGGTTATGTACCCATCAGTGTTGAACCCGGATTCGAACTCTACCGCTTGGCCACGACGCCCCAACGCCATAATGTCTTTACTATTAGTCTGATAGATGAGTAAAAATATCACTCAAGCACTAGGGGAGATAAGTATTCTAACTAAATATACAACAAGTGTTTTCTAATACATATGTATACGTTTGTTATAGAAGGTAACAACAACATTGGCCGGAAGAGTTCAATTTATAAAGAGTATGAATTGTTGGATAAACAAATGGGTTTATTATGTACAAGCAGTGTTTCTTCCAGACTTTTTTCTCCGGGGGGGGGGGGGGGGGGCACTTGAAATTTTCGGGGGGGGGGGGGGGGTAGACTTTCTTTGAGGGGGGGGGGGGGGCGGACACTGTTAAAAGTATATATTTTCTATATAAATTATATAAATTTCATTTCGTTCGGGGGGGGGGGGGGGCGGTAAAAAAAATTTGGGGTCGGCCAAGGCCCCCCCCCCCCGAAGAGATGCCTGGAAGAAACTCTTTGTACAAGGACATATTTGTAGATACAACTGTTTGAACCTGTAAACTATTTACTTTCATGTGGCCCAAAACAAGGAGTACATCGCTAAAAGTTGAACAATTCAACACCTCTATCTATTTTAAATAGCTTAGTATTTTACACAGTGTTTCAAAAGGTAAATTGGAAAAATTGTATTTATTATGAAAATATAACAGAGTATTTTCTCTGTACATTTGTTGCACAACATATCACACTGGTACCACACACATACTATTACCACACACACACACACACACTGGCACCACACATACTGGAACCACACACACACTGGTACCACACACATATTGGTACCACACATATTATGCGCATTAAATTATACAAAGATCAAATCTGCATTAGAACTGGCTGTATGGGTAAAACAGTTTAAGTAGAATAAAGTTCGTTTTGATTTAAAAGATTTACAGCATTTTTTAATATATGAAAATGAGCTCATTAACTTTTGTTTTTCTATATACAACTTTCAAATATGTTTTTGTAAAGAATAATCATCTTATGTAGTGGCGTGTATTAATAAACAGTGTAATTGATACTTTACAATAATCGTCTTTGTCAAGATTCCTTTGCTTTCAATTATGTTTGTTATTAAATAAAGTTTTTCTTACATTTTACTCTATTGACACGTTTTACATTTTGGTACAATATCATAATTTGCATAATACTTGACCGACGTAGATGAGCTTTGTTATACCATAACAGGACACCTACAACATAATTTCCCATACATGGAATAATTTTTTGCGGTTGTGCCTGACAGGGCTTATAGACACCATTATTTTCAAGAGTTTTTTCTTGTAAAAGTTACAGAAATTTTTTAGGAAATGCAGTTCAGGTTTTTCTTATGTAAATTGTACTGTTTAATAACAGTTAAATAATGCAATTATTCAGAGAACAACATGCTTTTAAAGAAAAATGTTCCATTGCAAACATTTTTATTTTGCTAAGCCCGAGAATCAATTACGTAATATCGGGAAACCCCGATTTAATCAAAGAACCAAGCATCGACTTTGTCAATTTAATATGGGAATTCCCCATACTCCATTTTTCAAAAAAGCGTTACACTCTATACACAGTAGGCCCATAGCCCGTGGATGGGGTGATTTACCACGCTGAGTCAGCTCTGACTTAGTGACACGTTAACATAAGAACAACAAAAACGTTATTTATAGATTAAGTTAAGGTCAGAAAGTCGCTTCAAAATACAGCTGCAAGGTTCAGAGCTAAAGCAGAGGCGTAGCGACGGGTTGGGGGGTGGGAAAGGGAAGGGGGGGGGGGGGGGGGGGGGAGGCGGGTACTTATGTCCCCGGGCACCGACCCTAGGGTCGCCAAAATAAGCTCCTTTTAGCTGCTATTTTGAATTATAAATTTTTTAAAAAAATATATGGGGGGGGGGGGGCGTTTTGATATTTGTCCCCGGACGCCGGAAAGGGTCGCTACGCCTCTGAGCTAAAGTTAGAATAAGCAGAAACGAAATTTATGTTAGGTATAAGATTCGGGCTATGTTTGAAAAGAGTCTTAATTATGATGTTAAATAAAAATATCGGTTGCTATTAAAAGGCAGTTCGCGGCAGTTTTAATGTGTTTTAAATGTGCCCCCCCCCCACCTCCCTTACGAAAGTGTGTGTCACGTGAGGGGTCAATAATCAGAAGTAGAAAGTACACAGACCAAAGAGTAGCAGAAAGTACACAGACCAGAGAGTAGCAGAAAGTACACAGACCAGAGAGTAGCAGAAAGTACACAGACCAAAGAGTAGCAGAAAGTACACAGACCAAAGAGTAGCAGAAAGTATACAGACCAAAGAGAAGCTGAAAGTACACAGACCAAAGAGTAGCAGAAAGTACACAGACCAAAGAGTAGCAGAAAGTACACAGACCAGAGAGTAGCAGAAAGTACACAGACCAAAGAGTAGCAGAAAGTACACAGACCAAAGAGTAGCAGAAAGTATACAGACCAAAGAGAAGCTGAAAGTACACAGACCAAAGAGTAGCAGAAAGTACACAGACCAAAGAGTAGCAGAAATTACACAGACCAAAGCGTAGCAGAAAGTACACAGACCAAAGAGTAGCAGAAAGTACACAGACCAAAGAGTAGCAGAAATTACACAGACCAAAGCGTAGCAGAAAGTACACAGACCAAAGAGTAGCAGAAAGTACACAGACCAAAGAGTAGCAGAAAGTACACAGACCAAAGAGTAGCAGAAAGTACACAGACCAAAGAGTAGCAGAAAGTACACAGACCAAAGAGTAGCAGAAAGTACACAGACCAAAGAGAAGCAGAAAGTACACAGACCAAAGAGAAGCTGAAAGTACACAGACCAAAGAGTAGCAGAAAGTACACAGACCAAAGAGTAACAGAAAGTACACAGACCAAAGAGAAGCTGAAAGTACACAGACCAAAGAGTAGCAGAAAGTACACAGACCAAAGAGTAGCAGAAAGTATACAGACCAAAGAGAAGCTGAAAGTACACAGACCAAAGAGTAGCAGAAAGTACACAGACCAAAGAGTATCAGAAAGTACACAGACCAAAGAGAAGCTGAAAGTACACAGACCAAAGAGTAGCAGAAAGTACACAGACCAAAGAGTAGCAGAAAGTACACAGACCAAAGAGTAGCAGAGATTATTTAGATTGAAGAGAAGCCGAAAGTATTTAGATTGAAGAGAAGCAGAATGTACACAGATTGATAAGTAGCCGGCATAAAACAAATGACAGAGAAACAGAGACAAAACATTTTACAGAAAAGAAGGTAGAACACTAGAGAAATCAAATAAGCTTTATTGACATTCCACTGTATTACAATAATTGTATATATAACGTGATGTTATCTTTGAAAAGATTGAAATAAACTCCATAAAATATTTTATTTAGTAAAGAATATACATCACAACCTTAATGTTACCTTTCGAATGAGATATTAATCAAACCTAACATAATTAGACACTTGTTTCATCATTACTTAATTTTACATCATTGAAGTTATAATGTAAAAAATGCTTCCCCTGTTTAAAAAAAAAACATGTAAATTTTAACCCTAGGAAAATATTTAAAAAACTTAGGTAAAATATTTCTGATCCTCAACATTGTGTCTTTCCATGCTTCCGTTACGTTTTCTTCTTAAAAAAAACCTTATTTAAAAACATATATAACATAAATGTTTTTTCTTAAATAGATATAGCAAGAAGAGAAATAATTAACAGAATTAATATTTTTTTAAATTGATATACCAGCGATGATGCATGGAACAGCTACCCTAAACCCAAAAACTGACGCAAACTCGACTTTGACAAATACCCCTAGTATTTAACAAAACAAAAATGCTTTTAATTAGAATTTTTAAATTTAATTTTAATTTACGCACAATAACTGTTCCCAGCCATGATGAGTATACATTTAACCAAAAAAGTATTTGAAAAGACTTTTGACAAGATCCCAGACGTATCCGATGAATGGCACTACAAGCCCTGTGTTGCTTGGTGTATTTTCTTTAGCTGATTCTATTGCATGACTTATGTATTTTATTAATTGTTTACATTTTTTAAGTAGCTCTGCCAATTCGATGTCAGTTTCAATATTTTCTACCAAAATATCTTCCAGCGTTTGGGCCTCTTCTTTAAGATGTTCCAGCTTTGGTAATTGGTTTGAATCGTAGTTTTGTCCAATACTTTTAAAATCTTCATAGACATTTTTCATTGCCTTGAAAGATTTGGATCTTAAATTATATTTCTTAAAATCATCTTTGCTATAGGATTTTTTGATCTGATGGACGAGCCCGATCAACTCATCTATCTGCCTGTCAATTACTTTCTTGTCTTTTGTCTTATTATCAAACAAAACAACACGTCTGCTACATTCTCGCAGCAGACGACGAAAACTTCCTGTCTGTTTTACGCACCATTCATTGAAGTCTGATACTCCTTCGTCTTTAGGGTTAAAGGAATCCCCACGAGTAACAACTAAAATTATATTTTTTTCTACAGTTTCTTCTCCGTAAATATCTTTGAGTGTTTCAACAGTGCCCTCATCCTCCTTAGTAAACCTGTGACCAAATGGCACAACCAGTAGCAGTGCATGATATCCTTCAGGACTAGCCGACATCGAAGTGACCAGAATTTCACCTAATTCTTCCTGAGACATCTCCGTATCAAAAACACCTGGGGTGTCAACAACCTTGAAAACATAACCTTTATACTCTGAAGATCCGGACTGAATTTCTTTTGTTGCCGACGTTGCACTGGAACTTGTCTTGAAAACTGTTTGTCGTAGTATGGTGTTTCCTGTTGTACTTTTGCCAGCTCCTGTTTTACCCACCAGTAAAAGATTTATTTTCTCCAAGCCTTTACAATCTCCATTCTCTGAAATAAGATGTTATGTTTTTAATAAATTCATTCGTATTTTAAGATTGGCATTCTTGTTATTCGTATTTTAAGATTGGCATTCTTGTCATTCTTATTTTAAGATTGGCATTTTTGTCATTCTTTTTTAAAGATTGGCATTCTTGTTATTTTTATTATAAGATTGCAGTTATCACACTAAAACTATGATGCTAATCGCGTTTAGAGGATTCTAAAAGTGACTTAAGAGTTAGCATCATTAAATGTTAACTTGTTATTATCATGTTTAACAGGATAATCGCTATAAAACAGATTAGAAAATATATTTTGCAAGGTCACGGGTTCACGGGGTATCTGATGGTTTTGTGGTGGTCCATAAATAACATCATGTTAGTTTAGCAGAATTGTAACACACATAATTTATGTTACATCGTCACCTAATAATAAACACTATTAATACACCTATGCCACTTCACTTCCCTGAAGCCCCCATCTCCTCCCCTACTATGCAAAGTCTTCACATGAAATCAAAATTAGAGCTATGTCTTTATTTATCTGACGTCATTTAACGAAGTCTCTACTTCTAAAAATAACTCTTTCAATATGTTTCTTATGTCAGGATGTGTATGTTTATGAAACTTGATTAAGCTTTGATTTGCATGTTTTTATAAAGCTGTGATAAAGTTTGTCCTCACCTTGAGATTTGCATTGGTTTCTGTCCCCACGTGCACATTTCTCACACATCAACACCAAGAACACGAATACTGAAAATTGTCAAATAACATTAAAAACGGCTTACTATCATAATTAAAATATTGTATTTCATGTTCTAAGAATTTTTTTTAGAACAGTTTTATAAAACAGTTACATTACTAACTATAGATTTCAACATATTATAAAAGTCACTACGTAAAGGAAGTTATCCTTTCGTGCATTCCAGATAAAATAGAGTTAACATGTCCTCGGCATACTAAGAGAAAATGAGAAGTATGCTGTATGTTCCCTAAACGCATTTAATGTACCTTATCAAAGCTGGGTGGTCATCTTACTGATTAAAGTCTAGGATACAAACTCGGGACTTTTGGACTGGCAGTCGAGCGCTATACTGTTTGACCACAGTGTCGTGTACATAGTTAAATTGTTACTGTTTTTTTTTTTCTAAAAATCTATGCTAAATATTACAAGTTCTGTTCGCTTACTGGCATCTCTATTCGTGTATTAAAATCTCTATTTGTTTCTATGTCTTTCTGCTTGTTTCGTTTAAGTATGGCTCACCGAATCTATATTTTAGAAGATACTTTACGATTTGTACCACACAGCTGTTCTTTCTTGTGAAAAATTAATATTTGACAGAGCTTTGTTGAACTAAAGAATGTAGCTCACAGACATTCTTAAGACCAAATGTGTTTTAGAATGTTTTGTTTACTTATATTGGTGAACTTAGTTTCGCTTTTTTACTTACAAAATTAGTAGCTTATTCTACAAGTAGCTACTACAATAATGACGGCACATTTTTGCATTTATTTCATTTTAGCTACATGCCAGGATTAAAATTATTTATAATGAAGAATATCAACAACACTTAACTGACTAGCTAGGCAGTGTAAACTTACCGTAATATTTCGCCAGGTTTGCATTAAACTGCATGTTAGAAGTAACGTCTAGCTGTGACTAGAACACCAGGCAGGGTGAACTTGGTAGAGAGAAGAGCTGATACCTGATGCTAGGGCCGAATTCGAACTTCGTATCAGTTGATGTTCTATAAGATAAAACAGCTGTATAAAGGATGACGCCGTTTGAGTCTAATTTTTCGTTAATCTTAAACCTACTAACAACAGCATGCAATTTCGTGATTTCTATAACAAACGTTCAATACGCCCTCTGTTACCCTAAAATATTTTACGTTTTTTTTTTTTAATTTTGAGTGTCCTAATCTCATATGAAACTTAATAATAAATTATTGTCCGAGAAACTATCTATTCTTTTAAGAAGGCAAGGCTAATCCATTAGACTTCAAGTCAATATTGTATAACCATTACTGAATGCTATTTTAAAATGTTACCTTCAACGTTGACAAATGGCACTCGGGCGGTTGTTTCCTTCAAGAGCTATCGCTGAAATGTGTTTGGAATTTTCATTGTGACTGATTATCCCCAGTTTACCTCGCCAAATCAATTCGGGAAATCCCATAATTTGGTTTTACTTTCGGTTTTGTTTATTAGGTCTTGTTGGATGATGAGGAATATTTATATTCAAATGTATTATCTCGAAGAAGCTAATATAACCGCTTAATAAAAAACATAACATAAATTCGTAATATTATTTTTATATGTGTATTATAAAAGTTTACTTGTCCTTTTCCAAGATTTTATGAAAAGAAGAACAACAACACATTTAGTAACTCTATGTTTCAAATCAAACATATTTTTTATTACTCTCAATGAATAAAATAAACAATTAGAAAATTATATTTAAAAAGCCATCTAAATAGACATTTATAGCACAAGTTCTGCTAAATTTATCAAATAGATACGCAGCTTTCAACAGATTTTGGTGCTAATAATCAAAATATTTCAAACTGAAAATTAAAGGAAATTACAACTGTCCGTATCGAAATTCGAATTAGCCAATCATGACAATTGAAGCTCAAAGAGAATGATTAGCATTTAATTAAAATAGATTAACTTTTTAAAAATTAAAAATAAATTTGATATATACAAAGAAGCAATCACCAGCGTAGGAACAATATTAAAGTAAGGTCGGATAATTAAAAATCATATACGAGGAACAAATACAAGCACACATAATACACGGATACACACACTCACACACACACACACACACATATATATATATATATATATATATATATATATATATATATATATATATATATGAAACATATGTTTACTTAGATACAAATGTTAATGTTTGGCCTATATACTGAAGCATAATGATAGGCTATGGTCTAAGGAAGTGTCAAATAATGTAAGGATACATTTCTTTTTTATTTCATGGTAGTTATATATAGCAAACAAATAATTTTGCGACTTACTAAATACACGCCTAATTTTTAAAAGTGTTGAAACATACTTCCCCAATATTGAATCTTATAAAATACATGTTACTAATAACTGAACAGAACATATGTTGGTTTTTGAATAACGGTGGTGACCAATTTAAAACGAAATTTATAATATCGATTTCTGGTTAGTGAAATAAGATTTTCAACGTTGATGATGCATCAAACTATTAACCTAGAAGTTAAATAAAATTGCAAATAAAGTAAATGAATCTATGTCTAAAAAAGCAGACATGTAAAAGAGTTGATCTACCAAAACAAGAGTTAATTAGCCATATAATCTACATTCTCGTCTATATAGTTGGCCTAAATACACTATCATAAAATCAGATTTTTAAAATATGTAAATGTTATTTAAACTACTTACACTACTGTTCGACATTTTATATAAATAAATAACATACACTGATAGAACTTAATATTTTTGTATTTGAACACCAGAAATAGTTCTAGCATGTGGTTGTGTGAGCTGCTCTAAGTATTTTAGTTCTACCGCCAAGTGTCAGATGAATCCTTATACAATCACTGATCTATCATGACTTAAAATTAGCTCTAAATCCACAATCTGTAGGTCTTTAAGTAGGGGAAAATAATATATTGCTTGATTTTTTTCTTGCTTATAACAAAATACACATGGCTGAAGATGACACAAGAACGATAAGTTATCAATGGGCGGAGTCAGGGAGGCTAAGTTAGTCATGGGCGGAGTCAGGGTGAATCTTACCAGTGAACGTAGTAAGGGAAGCTATCCAAGATATCAGTAAACGTAGTAAAGCAGACTATCTAAGTTACCAGTTGGCAGAGGAAGAGAGACTATCTAAGTTACCAGTAAACGTAGTAAAGCAGACTATCTAAGTTACCAGTTGGCAGAGGAAGAGAGACTATCTAAGTTACCAGTTGGCAGAGGAAGAGAGACTATCTAAGTTACCAGTTGGCAGAGGAAGAAAGACTATCTAAGTTACCAGTTGGCAGAGGAAGAGAGACTAAGTTACCAGCTGGCAGAGGAAGATAGACTATCTAAGTTACCAGGTGGCAGAGGAAGAGAGACTATCTAAGTTACCAGTTGGCAGAGGAAGAGAGACTAAGTTACCAGTTGGCAGAGGAAGAGAGACTATCTAAGTTACCAGTTGGCAGAGGAAGAGAGACTATCTAAGTTATCAGTTGGCAGAGGAAGAGAGACTATCTAAGTTACCAGTTGGCAGAGGAAGAGAGACTATCTAAGTTACCAGTTGGCAGAGGAAGAGAGACTATCTAAGTTACCAGTTGGCAGAGGAAGAGAGACTATCAAACTTAGTGATGTAGGCGGGTAGGGGAGAATATCTAATTTACTGGTGTTCGCAGTAAGGAAGATCCTGTAAGTTACCAGCTGGCGATGTAATGTAGACTTTCTAAGTTACCAGTGGAAAAAAAGTGAGGAAGACTAAGATACCAGTGGAGAATAGTAAGGGAGACAATCTAAAGATAGGTTGACTGAAAACAAATATCGGCGCTCCTCACAAGAACTGGATGCTAAAAATATTCGTCCATGGGCGGCTCATTTTTCTCAGGACGAATTTCTTTAATAACCCTCGTGATGCTGTTGGAGAACTCAGTGATCTCCCTTAGCACATCCATCAGCGTTGGATCTTTGGCGGCGTAATCCATCACGCGGTTTATCCACACAAAAATGTTGCTCCTGAGGTTCTCCAGCGCTTCCAGACGAGGTGGATTATCTCTCAGAACTACTTGGAGCTCTTCGGAAATCATGTTCATTGCGTTGACACATTCCAGTCTGCGATTTTGCTGCGGCTCAGCCTTTTCGAAATCGCCCTCGGAATAAATACTTTTATTTTCCTTGATCAGTTTCATCAATTTATTCATCTGCATCCTCATCTTTTCCTTGTCTTTGGTCTTGTTATCAAACAAAACAACTCTCTTCCCACATTCCTCAAGCAGATGATGAAAAGTGCCGGTTTGTCTTGAGCACCATTTATCGAAATCCGGCTCTTCATTTTGTTCCAGATTAAACAAATCCCCGCGTGTTACGACAAGTATTGTATTCTGCTGTATCACATTCTCCCCAAACACTTCTTTCAAATTTTCAACCGTTTCACTGTCTTCATCCGTAAACCTTTTACCAAACGGCGCGACCAACAAGACGGCGTCGAATCCACCCGGGCTCAAGGTTTTTAAAATCTCCATTATTCTCTCATGCGAAGATTTAAGGTCACTAGGCGTGTCGACAACCGTGAAAACGAAGCCGTCGTGTTCTGAGGACGCCGACTGAATGTGCTGTGTTACCGTTGAGGTGCCTGAGTCGGTTTCGAACGCTTTCTTCCCCAGAATGGAGTTCCCTGTTGAACTTTTTCCACTTCCTGTGGTACCAACGATCAACAGGTTGATGGGGTCGTTGGCGATCTCCTTACAGTTATCCGCATCTGTTAAGCGAAGAAATCATAATTAGTAAAGGTTCATAAATAGTTATTGGGCGGATTAGCCTAAGCTGTAGAGCGCTAGGGGGGTCATCCATAAATGACGTCTCGCTTTTTTGACGATTCTTACCTCCCCCCTTACTTCCCTCCGTCACACATCGTCAAAAAAGTCAGATCCCCCCCCTTAAATGACGCCAAACCTTAGCCTACAACCCCCCCCCCTCAAAATTGATTTTGAATGTTTCTTAAAACATCGATATATTTCCAAAATCTTGTCAGAACTCTTGTCAACATATCGTATTTTAATCAATTCCTATTACAATTTATTAAAACGGTTTTCTAAATCGCGAAATAACGGCTAAAATTTGTTTCCTAACAGTGCTTTATTTATAATGCAAAGGTATGACGTCACACCTTCTGAACCCCCCCCCCCCCCGCCCCACATCACACACCGTATCAAAATTACGGACCCCCCCCTCCTCTACGAGTGTGGCATCATTTATGGACGACACCAGGCAGCTAACCCGAAAGTCTTGTTCGAATAAGGGTCCACGTCAGTAGAAGGTAAATGAGTCCACACAGCTCTGAAAGGTACCTAAGTCTTATTAGGGAAAGTAAAAGCGTTTGGGCAAAGAGCTGACCACACCTTTACGTCATATGCCGAGGTCAAGAAACATGAACTTGTTTTGCCTAATGGATCGCTAGGTCTAATAAGGACTCTTTACTTTTACATTTTTTATTCATATACAATTAGATTAATTATATTTTAAAATTGTAATTTTTTAAATCAATTGTTGAAAGTTTAATTATTCAGCAATAGAAATTTAAAAAATAAAATACTTACCTTTTGAGTGGCAGGTTTCATCACTCTCTGGAGTAACCCAACCGCTATCATTACACTCAATTAAGGTGCTGGTTGCTATAAATTAAATGTAAAAAATAATAATATTGTAATGATCAACTTTAAAGATCTTAAACAAGATTATAACTATAAGAAAACATGGAGTAATATAATTCCTTATATATACTAAACTCTGTTAGTTTAAGTAGGGTGGCGGTTTTGGGGGTTGCGATGTGTGTGTGTGAGGAGGGGGGGGGGGGGGTTATTCAAACAAGACAGCGCCAGTTGTCCATTCATCAGTTAAATCCCTCTTCCTTTTTTTAACCTAAAGAAACTGTTTACGACAAAATATGTGTTTAATTAGCAGCATTTATTTTACTTGCATTTAAAAACGACCTGTTTATATACTATCTCGGTTTTACATTCATATTTTGTAATGGTGATCGGTTATTTATATATATATATATATATATATATATATATATATATATATATATATATATATATATATATATATATATATATATATATATATATATATATATTAATATATTAGAAAATAAAAAAGTTGTAACAATGTAAGCAAGCGCTATATCCATTTACGTGTACGCCATATTTCATATATTATCCACATCGAAATCATTATAAGATTCAGACCACAAGCACCAACTTTCACATCATTTCCCTTTCGCGCACAACACATGGAGCGGATGAAGTATAGTTCCTCTTCTTCAGAGACCTCGGCATATGAAGGTACAGCGTGGTCAGCACTATACTCCGTCTGTGTGAACTCAGAAACGTTCCACTGATGCGAACGATTTGAACACGTATTCGACACGAATTCCACACGAATTCAAACTCGAGACTCTCGAGTCCCATATACACGACATGCTAATTACAAAACCTCCTGCTGTGTGATAAAACTTACCAGCTAGTACAAGCAATGGTATCATAAACATCTTGGCTGTTTGTGTTCTTTATCAATAGTAAGCGTCATTTACAAAATATAACTGCAGATATAAACAAATTATACGGTCGGCATTAGAATTATAAAAAATACTATTCAATACAAATGATTGGAAGTGTAAATAATGTATGTTGAGTTTTGTTAAATATTTAAACTTATGGTTATTGTTCGTGTACATGTATTTGAGAATTTTTAAATATTATTATAAAGCATCTCTATAACATAATATCTTAGTATATCTTAAAAGCTAATCCCCTCAATGTATACCATTCTGGATAATCTCCTAATCTCCTGAAAGCTAGATTAAACTTATACTGATTTATAAAATAAAACTGCTATTTTAACGAAATTGTATATAGTTAATATGTTATAAAGTAGTAGGATTTACTTTAGGAAACATACATAAGTATACATTTATAACGGGGAACTGATTTACATCTCAAACAACTAACACAGTAAGTAGATGCAAGGTGTGGTTGATTCACACTACGAACCTATACCACACTTAGAAAATTCGAAGGAGGACAAATTCACACTACAATCCTTAAACTGTTCTATTTGAGGGTTGATTCACACTACAAAAATCTGTTAAACTTTGTCGATGTAACACTACGGACCTCTGCTATATTTTGTTGATGTGAGGTTACATTCATACTTCGAACCTGTTCTACAATTGGTATATTCGAGTGGTTATTGCTTCACACTACGACTTCAACTAAAGTTAAATGCAAGGGATGATTCTTCACACTACGAACCTCTACTAAAGTTGGTAAATGCAAGAGGTGATTGCTTCACACTACGAACCTCTACTAAAGTTGGTAAATGCAAGAGGTGTTTGCATCACACTGCGAACCTCTACTTAAGTTGGTAAATGCAAGAGGTGATTGATTCACACTTCGAACCTCTACTAATGTTGGTAAATGCAAGAGGTGATTGATTCACACAACCAACCTCTACTGAAGCTGTTAAATGCAAGTGACGATTGCTTCACACAACGAACCTGTGTACTTTAAGTTGGTAAATGCAAGAGGTGATTGCTTCACACTACGAAACTCTACTAAAGCTGGAAGATGTGAGAAGCGATTGCCTTGCACTAGAAACTTTTACTACAGTAATTAGATGTTACCAATTAATGACTAGCACTATACTGTGACTATACTGTGCCTTTCATTAATTTTGTAAAGTCTTTACTTTTAGGGAAGTTATTGAAAATCTAGTTTTGACAAATTTTATACAACACGGCAACTTCAGTGGACCTCAACCTATTCAACGAGTATAAACCTAACGGATTGGGTAGAAGCTGGTGAACCCAAACTAGATCTAAAATCTAGATCAAGATCTAGATCTAGATCTAGGTCTAGAATATATGAAGCAAGTTAAAAACGTCTTTAAATATACGAAATTATATGGTTAATTTTTCATATAATGAGAATTTTTTATAGCCTAAACTAACAATGAACTGCCAATGAGTTATGTTATTATTAAAAAAGTATTTCAAAACCTTGATTCGGCAAGATTCCCTTGAATGAAATTTGCTGGACAGAAGAAATGGTTTATCTTTTTCAAACGACCTTTGTCGTGTGGATAAAAAAATTCCATTGCGTTCAAAAGGGCTCGAAAAAACAAAACGACATTCGGGAAATACCGTTTATCAGCATTTTAAGCATATTTTGTGCACTGTGATTTTTACCATAAAAACTAATAAACTGTTACATTTTATGTATACTTTCTAGGCTTCTAATTTTCAAATGCCTCAATAGGCCTGCTTGGTAAAAGTTTTAAAAGTCGTTGCAAACTAAAGCATTTATTTTTAAACTATAACGTATTATTATGTTAGCTTTTGCTGATGTTTTGAACATAGCCTAACGCACAACTTTAAAAACTTTGTTCATTGCGATTCTCTGGTATTTCAAGCAAAAAAATTGGAGGTGCTTTCTGTTAAAAAAAATATTTTAAAATGAAATTCAATGTAATATTAACAGTGGGCCAAGGACCAACAGATTTAAAGATAATTAATACTCTAATAATAGTAAGTGTGTAACTAAAATAAATTTAGTAGAATCTCTACATAAATCAGATAAAAACTGAATCGGTCAACTCCGTGTGACAAGCTAAAGATTTGATCACGTCCATGTTTGATCAGATAAAAATAGATTTGGTAAACTACCTGTTTAAATCATATTTTTAAATATAAAGCGAATTTCCGAATGAATCCAGCTGGAACAAATTTGGTAAACTCCCTATTTTTATTCAGATCAAAATCTGCCCATAATCAAGACAATTTTTTTCAATCCCAATTATTTGTTATTATCGAACCTAGCTGATGTTACACCAATGGTTGAAAGTTTCTTAGCTAACGTTTATACGTTTTAAAAAGGGAGTGAGGTCATGGCAAGGGGTACGGTCAAATTTAAAGTAGTGTGTGTAGATTTTTATAACTGTTGTTAGAATTAAAAATGCGTTATCTAGCTAAACTAAATTAGCACAAACTTCGAACACATTATCGATAAATCTTTACCATCAAAGACAAATGATTTTTTTTTGCTGTTATCCATATTTGGACAAATAAAAATCAATAAACTACCCATTAGATTCGAAAATTCATTTTTATTTCATTATTAGATAAGCCACGGAATAAGATTAAATGAAAAGTAGATTTATATATTATATATATATATATATATATATATATATATATATATATATATATATATATATATATAATCACTAATATATTTTTAGTGTTTTTGTTGTGTTAGTGTTGTGTTTATGTTGTGTTTGTGTTGTGTTTGTGATTTTGGTTGTGTTTGGTTTGTGTTGTGTTGTGTTTCTGTTGTGTTTCTATCGTGTTTCTGTTGTGTTGTGTTGTGTTGTGTTATGTTGTGTTTGTGTTTGAGTTTTTGTTATGTTGTGTTGTGTTGTGGTTGTGTTGTGTGTGTTGTGCTTGTGTTGTTTTGTGTTTGTGTTGTGTTTGTGTTGTGTTTGTGTCGTGTTTGTGTTGAGTATTTTTGTGTTGTGTTTGTGTTTTCTTTTGTGTTTGTGTTTTGTTTTGTTCTGTTCCCAAGTTGGTACATTCAAAAAGATTGGCCGTTTCGGACCACAGGTATGCAGCTAGTATATATATAACAATTTTTTTTTACTTGCTATATAATATACGACAAAATCTAAGAGTCGGCTGTAAAATTAGACTTGGAATATCACTTAAATATTTATACAATTATGAGATGGCTACACTGCTAACCCGAACGTCTCGAGTTCGAATACGGGTTGAAGCTTACGCTATCGAAAGCAAATGTGGTTTGGCGCATAATGTTAACCACACTATATGCCGATGTCTCTGAAACAGATGAACTCTACTTCGCCTGCCCTATGTCCGTTGTACACGAACGGGAAATTTGACAAATTGTACAATTATTTGATGAGCTTTTTAGTACAGACTCTCGAAGTTAATAGGTAAATTATGCTCCATCTGGTAAGTACAACGTTTAGAAACATTTATCATAAGAAAATAGTATCTCAAATATATAATTTTTGTTTGTTTACAACCACTAGTCTTTTCAAGATTCATACATGCAATCTTATTTTTAAAATCCATTTCTAATATTGCAGCCGATACATTTTTAAAAAAAATTATTATAGATAGACGAAGAAACAACATTAAATAGTTTATGTTATACAAGTATGATATAGGCCTAATACACTAAACTAAATATGCGTAAATCCGAGTCTAAAAATAACATTTGAAAAACAAATTCTTTCTAATATTTAATTATCGTAACCGAGAATTAATGTGTTAGAACATGCGGTTCAAAGCTTAAAAGAAAAAGAATCTAAATATACCTCGTACAAGGGTAAGGAAAGATTCCGAAAAGCCACCCGAGCTACCAACCTCGGTAGTTTGTGCTTGTGGTTTATTGTCAATGGCTATGTCAATCGCATCGTTTATATTTTTCAGCAGCCCTCTACAGACGTTTAGCAGATCTACCAATTTTATGTCATTTTTAACATTGTTTACCAAAGTTTCTTCCAACGTTTGTGCCTTTTCCTTCAAATTTTCCATCTCTGACAATTGGTTGTATCCGTAATTTCCAAGGCTTTTAAAATCGTCAACGATAGTTTTAAACTCCGTAATACATTGTATTCTCACAGTGCGTTTTTCTTCCGCTTTCTTCAAGTCATTGCTGCTGTATGGTTTTCTTATCCACCTGATTTGTTCGATCAACTGATCGATCTGCCTGTCTATCACTTTCTTGTCTTTTGTTTTATTGGCAAAGTAAACAACACGTCTGCTGCATTCCTTCAGCAGACGACGAAAACTGCCTGTCTGTTTTAGACACCATTCATTGAAGTCTGGTACTCCTTCTTCTTCGGTGTCAAACGAATCCCCTCCGTTCACAAGCAAGATAATGTTATTTTTTACAGTTTCTTCTCCGAAAATTTCTTTGAGTGTTTCAAGAGCGCCTTCATCCTCCTTAGTAAACCTTTGACCGTACCGTACGACCAGTAGCAGTGCATGATATCCTTCAGGACTAGCCGACATTGAATTGACAAGAATGTTGGTCAGTTCTTCCTTAGACATGTCCGTGTCACAAAAACCTGGGGTGTCAACAACCTTAAAACATAACCTTTGTACTCAGAGGATGCGACTTCAATATGTTTTGTGACCGACGTTGAACTGGAACTTGTCTTAAAAACTGTTTGCCGTAGTATGGTGTTTCCTGTTATACTTTTGCCAGCTCCTGTTTTACCCACCAGTAACAGATTTATTTTCTCCAAGCCTTTACAATCTCCATTATCTGAAATAAGTGGTCATATTTTATATATATATATATATATATATATATATATATATATTCTTTGTATCCTTTTTTTAATCGCACTAAAACTATGATGGTAATCGCGTTTCGAGGATTCATTCACTGCTTGTTATTATCATGTTTAACAGAAAAGTTTGTATACAACTTGAGAAAATAGAGTCGCAAGGCGACACCAAGGTCACAACTTTACGTAGTACCTGATGGCCTAGTCTATGGTTACTGTGAGGTGATCCATCAATGATGTGTTGCTAATTTAACAGAATCGTAAAACACTTAAATATCTTCTCCCCCGATCATCCCAGTCTTTTAAAGTTCCGGATATTCCCGTAAAAACTACTTTTTGTATTTGCAGCGTTCAAACAATTCTACCTCAATTTTTATTATCATCTAAAGAATACGCAGCAAACCTCCTGTCAGAACACCCTGAATCACCGAATAGTCAGATTGTATTTCTTACAGATGCCAAATCAGTCCTGCAATCCCTACAAAATCCGGAGTCCTATATTCAAACACTTATGACAGCACTAGAGAGGCTAAAAAATACCTGCAGCAGAATTGTGCTGCAGTGGATCCCGGGCCACTGCCAGATCCAGGGTAACGAGATCGCAGACCAGCTGGCAAAAATTGGGGGAATGAAACCACAACCGGAAATTTCGCTACACCCAAAAGAAATAAAAAGAATAATTAAAAACAAACAAAAGCAAATGTGGTCTGTCACACACCCTCACTACATTAAAAACGACGGCTATTACAATTTAACACGAAAACAACAATACATAATCTTTCGACTTAGAACAGGCCACAACAGACTAAATCAACACATGCACAAAAAACTGAAGGTTGGGTGTAGCGAAATGTGCCCTTGTGGCAAGGCCCCGGAAAACACGGAGCACGTACTCCAGGAATGTACTCTGTATAGCCAGGCTAGAGGCAGACACTGGCCCCAGCCCACCCCACTCAGGGAAAAATTATATGGGACACCTGACAAACTGGAAACCACAGTCCGGTTTGTCCACGAAGTTGGACTTGTTGTCTGAATCCTCCACCATATTCAAAAATTAAGAACGAAGAAGATCTAAAGAATAATAAACATTTATAATAAAATTATGCTATATCACTTTACATTTCGTAAGCTCACTCCCCTTTCCTACTATACACAGTCTATCCTAAAAACAAAACCAGAACGCAGTTATAATTTATCTGACGTCATTTATGGATCTCTCTATTTGCTTCTAAAAATAATTCTTAAAATATGTTTGTCAGGATTTTTCATTTTATAAAGCTTGGCTAAGCTTTAATTTCTATGGTTTATGTCTGGGTTAAGTTTTTAATTCCTCACCTTGGGATTTGCACTGGTTTCTGTCCCCACTAACACATTTTACACACACCAAGAACACGAATACTGAAAATTGTAAACAATATTAAAACCGGCTTACAACTATCAATAAATTATTTCTCATCTCATAAGTGTTTGCTATTTATTGCTATCAGATTTATAAGACATTTACATCATTAACTACAGCTTTCGATAAGTTAAACAAGTCAGTACGTAAAGAAAGTTATCATTTCGTGCCTCCTGATAAAATAGGATGTGTTTCTGTGCTCTCATCATATAAAGAGAACGTGTGGGTGGTCATCCTAAAGATTCAAGTCTAGGATACGAACTCGGAACTTTTGGACGAGCAGTCAATAGATTTACCGTCCTACTATAGTGTCGCGTACATAGTAAAATTATTTTTTTTTCTCAAATCTATGTTCAATATTTTAATATCTCTTACTGACATCTCTATTCGTCTACTGAAATATATATTTTTTCGAAATGTGCCTGTTTGCAAAAGAATCTTTTTTTTTAAGTAAAATCTCTATGGCTTACTAAATTTGTGACCCAAAAGAAAGTTTAAAAGTTTGACCCTGACAGTTGTGCTTTCTTATGTAAAACAGATATTAGACAGAGCTTTTGTGAACTCAAAGATACTGAATCACAGACATTCATTTTACAGAATTATGTGTTTTAGAATGTTTGGTTGAATTGTATTGTTGAATTTAGATTTTTTTTTACTTATAAAATTAGTACCTGATGTTCGGGTCCAATTTTAACCTCTTTTCACTGTATGTTCTATAAGATAAAACAGATGTTTAAAGGTTGACACCGTCTGTTGGCTGAGTCTAACGTTTCATTTTAATTAAACCCACTCTCATCAACATGTATTGGATGATTTATAAAAGCGCTACTCATTTCTAATACACATGTTTCCAAAAATATTTAAAGTTCGTCATCAAGATTATGACTGTCCTAATCCCTATTTGAAAATATAGAATAAGTTCTTCGTTGGTCTAAGAATCGATGTCAGAGAAGCTATCGATTATTTAAGACGATATGGCTAATCCACTAGACGCCTAATCAATATAGCATACCCGTTAACAATCCAAATACGCTAACTTCAATAGTGTAAAATTATTGCATATGTAAATCAACTTCAAAGCGATACTAGGCTAACCGATGTAATCCTTTTTATAATAATGACTAGCCGTCCCGGCCAAACTCTGCACTTGTCTCTGTGAAAAACTTTTCTGCAAAGGATCATGACTTGTGTGTTTATTAAGCAGGTTTAGGAAATATATTACTTTTTAATTAACCCTTATCACAACCAACCAAAACACAAACACAAAAAAACACAACCGAAAACACAAACCCAAACACTAACGTAGCAATAGACTCAAACAAAAACGCAGACACAAACGCAAACGTGAAAGCAAACACAATGTGAACACAAACAAAATGGCAAACACTAACCCAATGACAAACGCAAACACAACCACAGACGTAAACGCAAACAAAAACACAAACAAAAACATAAACGCAAACATAATGCAAACAAAAAAGCAAACAAACGTAAGCACAAATATAATCGGAAATATAAACGCAATTACAAAAGCAAACAAAACGCTACACAAACGTAAACACAAACACAAAAAACACAAACATAACAAAAACTAAAACACAAGGACAAAGCGAATATAAAAAAAAAAATTAGCATCACCATCACCATCACCACCACCATCACCCACACCATCACCATCACCATCACCATCACTATCACCATCAACATCACCATAACCGTCACCGTCACCGTCACCGTCACCATAAACATAAACATGAACATAAACATAAACATAAAAATAAACATAAACATAAACATAAACATAAACATAAACATGAACATGAACATGAACATGAACATGAACATAAACATAAACATAAACATAAACATAAACATAAACATAAACATAAACATAAACATAAACATAAACATAAACATAAACATAAACATAAACATAAACATAAACATAAACATAAACATAAACATAAACATAAACATAAACATAAACATAAACATAAACATAAACATAAACATAAACATAAACATAAACATAAACATAAACATAAACATAAACATAAACATAAACATAAACATAAACATAAACATAAACATAAACATAAACATAAACATAAACATAAACATAAACATAAACATAAACATAAACATAAACATAAACATAAACATAAACATAAACATAAACATAAACATAAACATAAACATAAACATAAACATAAACATAAACATAAACATAAACATAAACATAAACATAAACATAAACATAAACATAAACATAAACATAAACTTAAACTTAAATTTAAACATAAACATAAACATTAAGTTTTTGGTTATCTCTCAAGGAAAGTTTTTTTTATAATATGCATGTCTACGTCGGGTACGTTTGCCACATACAGAAATACTGAGTTCATTTCTTTTTTTTTTATTTTGGATTTAACAGAACCAAACTGCCAAGTCAAGTACATAACTTAATTTTCCAGTTGTAAACTTGTATGTGTACGTACAAATACAAATAAATGAATGTGGTTTTAATGTAATTATAGCCTAGACATAAATTAAAAGAGGTAGCTGCATATTCGAGATTTAAAGTAAATTTGGAAATAATATAATAGTAACAAGCTTAAAGCAGGTAGTTTAAATATAAATATGAATGCTATTTTAAATTGCTACCTTCAACGTTGACAAATGGCACTCGGGCGGTTGTTTCCTTCAAGAGCTATCGCTGGAATGTGTTTGGAATTTTCATGTTGACTTATTCTCCCAAGTGTAACTCGCTAAATCAAATCGGGATATCCCGCAGTTTGGTTTTACTTTAGGTTTTGTTTTATCAGGTTTTGTTACATAATCAGGAATATTTATATTCAAATGTATTATCTCACTTTAATATTTATTGGACACCTTTACTAATATTTAGGAAGAGACCCGTACTTTTCTTTATGGTAATTAAAATAGTAGTGTATAATTTATTTTTCTACTAATTAGTACATTATTACATACAAGTTTGTTATTAAAACGATTTTTATTAAAAAATATTTTAGTGCTTTACATGTTTTAATTACACTAGAGAGTCATGACTAAAAACCATTGCGCGTCTATTGAACGTGATGACGCGTGTCTTATAGCGCGGAATTGTTTGATGAGACCGCCTACTAATTTGGACAAAATTTTAATTAATTCAACCAATCAAGTCAAATTTAATGTCATGCTGCATTGTCTTCATGTCTTGACCCAAGTATCAACTACGAACCGTCTCTGTAAGTTAGAAATGCCTACAGAATGACGACAAACTGACGACTGGCGACAGATTGACGAGGAAGTGATTATGTAATAAAAAGCTTGTAAAAACAACGAATTTAATTCAAAAATTGATTTTTATTATATTACCAGATAAAACCATGGTATATAATTAAGCGATACGTAGATTTTGTGAAGAAATGCTGGAACACATTAATCTCCAGTCTAATCAATAAACCTGATATAACTTTAGAGTTTTTACTTCAGCACTAAAACTGCAAAGTTTAGACTGACTAAGTTTGCCTTGAGACAGTTTTAAATTCTGTCCATTACACTCGAAATTTTTAAACTGAAAACTAAGCTTCATCAAACATATTTTTTGTGTAAGTAGATTGATTTTCTAAGCATGGTCAGCTAAAATCAGAGGTATTTGACGCTAAATACAAGTATACATATATAAATAAATAAATTTATAAATAAATGAATAAATAAATGAATATATATATATATATATATATATATATATATATATATATATATATATATATATATATATAGGGGGCGAGGGGAAATAGACTGTAGCATCATGAGACAAACGTTTACAAAATTTCCGTGCATCTTTCAAACCACACAACACAACACAATCACGCCATTTTAAATCTTGATTGCTTCCGTTGACCGTTTTCTCTCTCTCTCACTCTATTTCTTTAGGCCTATGCTAGACGGAATAAGATACGCATGCGATACGCATGCGCAATGGAGAGAAACAATGAATTGCTTTAGCTGCGATGTTATCGATGGTTATGCCCAAGTAGCGAGCAGACGGAGAAATATAATTATCAATGATTTATTGTTGGTATTTCATTCAATCTCTTGCGTTAAATGAAAGACCAGAGCGTTAGATGTCCTCTTTAATGACGGGGGAAAATGGAAGTTAATGCTCGTTTCATTCCACTGGCTATCTTTAAGTGTTGGACACTTTCGCCACGTTTACACGTACAAAATGTTTGACAACTCCCTAGCCAATACTGTAAAACAGCAGCATAAAGACTAATTGGACACAATAGGGTTAACTGCATCTCGATCTCGATCATCTGTTGCAATTTTGCAAACGGCTTGCGAGCAAACGTCCATTCGGACAAATGTCAGTCGGGCATTTTTGTTACTTTTTCTAGTGCTTAGCATATTTACAAATTCTGTTTTCAAAAAAGTTGAGCTGCATTATTAAACAACTTTCATTTATTGCTTACAAGTTTAGTTACAACACCTCTAATCATCCCCACCCCCAACCTGTTTTTATTCTACATTTCTTCGCATTGGTCTTTTGGTTTAGACGGATAACCTAAAATAAACCACACTTTATTCTTGAATCTTACTAAACGTTCTACGAATCCAGGTTTAGGTTCAGGTTCCTTGTTCTTGAGGAAATTGAATGCTAGGATGTCACGATTGATTTCGTCAAGCAACTGGATTGATGCACGCAGAACTTGTACCAAGGTCGGCTTCCTTGTTATTATATCCAAGAGGAAATCAATCTTGGTTAAAAGTCGATTTTTTAGCCCCTCTAGCAAATACAGACGCCGAGGGTCGTCCGCTGAAATGTTTTTAAACTCGTTACAAATTTTTGTCACGGTCTCTTCCAGTCCCCAACGTAAATTGTGTTTCGAATATGTTTTTCTGATTTCATTGACTTCTTCGGCCAATCTTCTGATTTGATTCTTCATCCTTTCCTTGTCTTCTGGAATGTTTTCAAACAAAACAAATCTCCATCCACAATCCTTTAGCACTAATCTGAAAGTGAGACTAAACCATGAGTCCCAATAATCAATAAAAGCACGTTCGCTTTCTTCACCACGCAACCATTTCATATAATGTGTAACTACAAGAATTGTATTTTCCCTCATTACTTTGTCCCAAAACATCCTTTTTAAAATTTCAACGTTTCTTTTATCTTCTTCCCTAGAAAGTTCAAGAAACGGTATGACGTACAAGATAGCATCATAGTATTTAGAACTTGTTGATGAGTTTTTGAATAAAATCTCCTTCAAACTGTTCTGCTCGAGCTTGGCGACACTAACACTCGGCGTATCGACAACTGTGAACTTGTATCCGTCGTTGTCTGCTGACGCGATCTGGGGTTGTTTGGTTGTCGGTGCAGAGCTAGAGGCTGTTTCAAAGACGTTCTTGCCCAGTATAGAGTTCCCTGTGGAACTTTTGCCAGCACCTGTCGCACCAACCAGCAACAGGTTCATCTCGGTTTTATAACACGGACTGCTACCTGAGAGACCAATTGAAAAAATACAAATTCTTTCAAATTAATCAACGCATTCAATGTGCAGTCATTCTGTCCGTCCGTCTGTCATTTCTTCTTTCCATCTGTCCGTCTGTCTGTCTGTCTGCCTGTCCATCTATCCGTCTGTGAACCCGTCCGTCTACTAACCTTTCCATCTGTCCGTTCATCCGTCCAACTGTCTGTCCATCTGTCGGTCTGTTGGTCTGTCTGTCTGTTCGTCTGCCTGCCCGTCTATTCATCTTTCCATCTACTTATCAATATTGGGATTAATTAATCTAATATTTGAAAAAAACACCGTTACTTTTTGAATAGGTATACATACTTTCCCCTATAAAGGAGTTAGCACCGCATGCAAATGTCAAACTGATTGCTGTGAATAGAATGTTCAAGTCATTATATTTCTTGTGATAAACACTGTAGGGTTTATTCTATTAAAAAAAAAGAAATGATAAAATACTTTTAAACACTGTAGTGTAACTGATTTTAAAACAACATCATTGGACATAATGTATGGGGTGTTGACAGATGCATCTGACACTTTAGATGCCATGTTATCCAAATTTTAACCTCATTTCGGAGGTCGGCATGGTCGGGTGGGTAAAACTCATGTTTGCTGAAACGAAAAGTCCCGAGTTCGGACCTTCATCTAGCTGTGCAATTTCAAAAGCAAATAACAGCCTTGTAGTTTGTTCTTGGTTGGACAAAGACTACTGAGAAAGTAATTCCAAGCCTCTCGCCATTAAATCCAGGGGGCAATTATACAATTTTCTATCATTTTATAGAACAAGTATTATACTAACATCGAAGTAGCGCACACAATCTTATTTACAGCCTGTAAAATCTAGAAATGCGCAAAATATTTAACTTTTTATTAGCTATTTTTTTTCCGTCGAATTTCGGCCCAAATATTTTGTGGAGCTAAAGGGTTTTAGAGGTGGTGTTGTGGGTGGGGATTCATCAAGAAAAGACAGCACCAATTGTCCATTCACCCATTTGATCGATCTCCCTATTTTTCATAAAAATTAAGAAACTGCTTACAGAAAATATTTTTTAAATTACTAACAAATGTAATTTTTAAAAAAAATAATTTTATACTTCCATTTAAAAGATATTAATACACGGCCTGTTTCCATTCCTCTGTGTGATCGTTTATATATATATATATATATATATATATATATATATATATATATATATATATATATATATATATATATATATATATATATATATATATATATATATATATATATATATATTAATATATATATATATATATCACCATATATATCACCATATATATCACCATATATATCACCATATATATTACCATATATATAATACTAAAATACTTCAATATAAGCAAGGGCTATATAAATTTATGTGTACGCCATAATTCATAAATTATCCACACACAACCGATTGTAAAATTTAGCAAACATGCACAATTTTAACCCCCGCCCCACCCCCCCCCCCCCCCCCCCCCACACTATTATCTTTACAATCTTTTGTTTAAAAATGTAGAAATTCATTTGGACAGAAACTTACCCGTTTATGATGTTTTGATAAATGTAAATCACTAATGCACTGGGAACTAAACACCTTTTTTTAGCCCTGGTATTTAATTGTTTATCTCATCTCGCGGTTTCTGTCTGTCTCATTAGTGGCGATGATTACAATTAACTTGCTTACACCACCTGAAAACCTCCAGCTGTGTGTGATAAAACTTACCAACTAGTACAAGCAATGGTATCATAGACATCTTGGCAGCTTGCGTGCTATATCAATAGTCAGCATCATTTACAAAATACAACTGGAGAGATTAACATTAGTAAACAAATTATGTCGATATTAGAATTAATTTAAAAAAAAACACATAAAAAACAATGCAATACAACTGTTGGGAAGTCAAAATAATGTATGTTGAGTTTTGTCGATATTGTTGAATTCAGTCGATATTAGAATTAATTTAAAAAAAAACAATACAATCCAACTGATTAATAGCCTTAATAATGTATGTTTTGTTAAATATTTAAACCTACGATTATTGGTTATGTGTGTATATTTGAGAACAAAATTAGTATTTTTAGCATCCCATATAACATTATATATCATATCTTAAATGCTTATTCTCTCATGGTATATAACTCTAGATTATCTCATCATTGACTGAAAGCTAGATTATATTATACTGATTTATCAAAACACTGCTACATTAATTAAAAGTTATATAGTTAAATAGGTAATATAGTAGTAAGATCTACTTTAAAAAACATACATAATTATACATTTATAAATTGGGGGGAGGGGGCAGAATCACATATCAAACAAATACCACAGTAATTAGATGCAAGTCCTGATTGATTCACACTACGAACTTATTTGAAAATTTTGGGATAACAGACCCTAAAATTTTGTCGATGCAAGGCGTGATTGTTCCACACTACGAACTTATGCTAGAATAATAAAAAAAAACTGACGGTTGATAGATTCGAACTACGACCCAAAACTTTTGTCGATGTGAGGGTTGATTGATTCACACTATTAACAACTATTAAAATTTGCCGATGTCACATTACGAACATCTGCTATATATATATAATGTTAAGTTAAGGTTACATTCATATTATATACCTCTTTAAATGTTGGTTGATGTGATTGTTCATTGCTTCACTCTGCGAACCTCTACTAAAGTTGGTAAATGCAAGAGGTAATTGCTTCACACTACGAACAACTACTAAAGTTTCAAATGCAAGAATTGATTGATTCACGCAACGAAACTCTACTTGAGTTGGTAAATGCAAATGATGATTGTTTCACACAACGTTTCTCTCCTAAAGTTGGTAAATCCAAGAGGTGATTGTTTCACAAAACAAACCTCTACTAAAGCTGGAAGATGCAAGCAGTGATTGCTTTACACTAAAAATCTTTACTACAGTTATAAAATGTTACCAATGAATGACTCGCACTATACTGTGACTATACCGTGCCTGTCAGTAATTTTGTAAAGTCTTTGATTACATTTAAGAAATTAATTAAAAATCTAATTTTGACAAATTTTATACTAGATCTAGAATCTAGATCTACATTGCAAATTCAGTAGACCTCGACCTATTCAACAAGTTCAAACCTAACTGATTGGGAAGAAGCTGTTGAACCCAAATTAGATCTAAAATCTAGATCAAGATCTAAATCTATCTATGTCTAGAATATCTGAATCAAGTTAAAAAGCATGTTATTAATATCAGAAGTACTATGAATTTAGCTGGCAAGAAGAAATTGTTTATATTTTTAAACAACCTTTATCGTGTTGTTTTAAAAATTCCATCGCGTTCAATAAGGCTTGAAAAAAAACGACATAAATTCGGAAAATTCCGTTTATCAGCATTTTTAGCGCATTTTGTACATTTCATTTTTAACCAAAAATACCAATAAACTGTTACATGTTAATTATACTTTCTACGCTTCTAAACTTCTAATGCCTCGATACTTATTAAAAGTTTGAAAAGTCGTTGTAACGTAATGGAATTGAATTTTTAAAATTGTAGTTTTTTATTTTATTTCATGATTAGCTAAGACAGAAGTCATACGTTTACATCATTCATAGTTGGATTTACTGAAATGAAAAACAGAAACATAATCCCGTCTTTTATAATTGATCGAAAATGTATTTAGATATATTGCATTGAAGTAAGCACCACACATGTTAAATAAATAAATATTGAATACGCAGGTTTTGACGAATTTTCGGTGATAAAAATTTATAATCGAATATTTTAAAATAAAACTAGGTGTAATATTAACAGTTGACCAAGGACCAACAGATTTGACGCTAAAACATACACTGATAATATTAAGTGTGTAACGAAAATGAATTTAGTAGAATCTCTACATAAACCAGAGAAAAACTGTGGCTACCTGAAGATTTGGTCACGTCCGTATTTAATCAAATTAAAATAGATTTGTACAAGTCTCAAATCTCTATTTTATCAGATAAAAATAGATTTGGTAAGATACCTTTGCAAATATATATATATATATATATATATATATATATATATATATATATATATATATATATATATACATAATGCATATTTAATACGTTATTTCTGTAATAATTTAAAGAAAATGATGTCGCTGTAAAATTTTTTCATACAGAAGAAGGTGCTGCTATCGATATTTGGACAAATAAAATAAATAACCCATTTGATTAAAAAATTAATCTTTTATTGCATTATTAGCTACATGATACAAGATTAAGCGATACGTAGATTTTGTGAAGAAAAGCTGGAACTGGAACACACTAATGTCCTTTCTAATCAATGAAGCCTGTTATTATTTTAGATGTTTTTACTTTAGCACTAAAACTGTAAATTTAAGACTGGATAGATTTTTCCTGAGACAATTTTACATGCTGAACGTCCCAATAGAACTTTTCAACTGAAAACTCAGTGTCATTAAAAATTGTTTTCTTTTTAGATAGGGATTTTCTAAGCACGATCAGCTAAAATATATTTGATAATTGCCTTGCGAAAATCAGAGGTATTTGACGCTAAATGCGAGCAATAATTATTGTCCTTAGGAATTATATAATTATAAATACATGTGTATATTTATTGTTGTTGGGGATAGGGGGGAATGACTGTAGCACCATGAGACGAGCGTGATGAAGATGATGATACTAACAACGTATACAATATTTCCGTGTATCTTTTAACCCACACAACACAACACAATCACGCCATTTAAAATCTTGATTGTTTCCGTTGGCCGTTTTCTCTCTCTTTTTCTCCAAGCCCGAGTTAGTGATCGCTCTAGCCCAGTAGCAAACAGACGGAGAAATGTAACTATCAATGATTTATTGTTGGTATTTTCCTCCATCTCTTGTGTTAAATGAAAGACCAGAGCGTTAGATGTCCTCTTTAATGACGGGGAGGATGGAAAATAATGCTCGTTTGATTACACTGGCTATCTTTAAGTGTTGGACACATTCGCCACGTTTACACGTACAAAATATTTTGACAAGCCAATACTGTAACCCAGTCGCATAAAGACATATAGGACACAATAGGGCTAACTGCATCTCGATAATCTGTTGCAATTTGGCAAACGGCTTGCGAGCAAACGACCATTCGGACAAATGTCAGTCGGGCATTTTTGTTATTTTTTCAAGTGCTTAGCATATTTACAAATTCTGTTTTCAAAAAAGTTGAGCTGCATTATTAAACAACTTTCATTTATTGCTTACAAGTTTAGTTACAACACTTCTAATCATCCCCACCCCCAACCTGTTTTTATTCTACATTTCTTCGCATTGGTCTTTTGGTTTGGACGGATAACCTAAAATAAACCACACTTTATTCTTGAATCTTACTAAACGTTCTATGAATCCAGGTTTAGGTTCAGGTCCCTTGTTCTTGTGGAAATTGAATGCAAGAATGTCACGATTGATTTCGTCAAGCAACTGGATTGATGCACGCAGAACTTGTACCAATGTCGGCTTCCTTGTTATTATATCCAAGAGAAAATCAATCTTGGTTAAAAGTCGATTTTTTAGCCCCTCTAGCAAATACAAACGCCGAGGGTCGCCCGCTGAAATGTTTTTAAACTCGTTACAAATTTTTGTCACGGTCTCTTCCAGTCCCCAACGTAAATTGTGTTTCGAATATGTTTTTCTGATTTCATTGACTTCTTCGGCCAATCTTCTGATTTGATTCTTTATCGTTTCGTTGTTTTTAGGCTTGTTGTCAAACAAAATAAATCTCCGCCCACAATCCTTTAGCACGTATTTGAAAGTGTAATAAAAAAAAAAGTCCCAACGATCGATAAGAGAACGTTCGCTTTCATCACCATGCAACCATTTCAAATGATGTGTGGCTACAAGAATTGTATTTTCCCTCATTACTTTGTCTCCAAACATCCTTTTTAACATTTCAACGTTTTTTTTATCCTCTACCGAATTAAAATTATTAAACCTTATGACGTACAAGATAGCATCATAGTATTTAGAACTTGTTGATGAGTTTTTTAATAAAATCTCCCTCAAACTGTTCTGCTCGAGTACGGCGCCGTAATCACTCGGTGTATCGACAACAGTGAACTTGTATCCGTCGTTCTCCGCGGACGCGATCTGGAGTTGTTTGGTTGTCTGTGCAGAGTTAGAGGCTGTTTCAAAGACGTTCTTGCCCAGTATAGAGTTCCCCGTGGAACTTTTGCCAGCACCAGTCGCACCAACCAGCAACAGGTTCATCTCGGTTTTATAACACGGGCTGTTACCTGAGACACCAATTCAAACAATACAAATTCTTTCAAATTAATCAACGAATTCAATGTGCATTCATTATGTCCGTCCGTCTGTTTGTCCGTCTGTCTGTCTGTCTGTCTGTCCGTCCGTCAGTCCGTACGTACGTTCGTCTGTCTTTCCGTCTTTCTTTCTGTCTGTTCGTCCATCTGTCTGTCCGTCCGTTAGTCCATCCGTCCGTCCGTCTGTCTGTCTGTCCGTCCGTCCGTCTGTCTGTTCGTCCATATGTCTGTCCGTCCGTCCGTCCGTCCGTACGTCAGCCCGTCCGTCCGTCCGTTCGTCCGTCCGTCCGGCCGTCCGTCGGTCCGTCCGTCCGTCCGTTTGTCGGTCCGTCTGTCTGTCTGTCTGTCTGTCTGTCCGTCCGTCCGTCCGTCCGTCCGTCCGTCCGTCTGTCTGTCTGTCTGTCTGTCTGTCTGTCTGTCTGTCTGTCGGTCCGTCCGTTCGTCCGTCCGTCCGTCCGTCCGTCTGTCTGTCTGTCTGTCTGTCTGTCTGTCTGTCTGTCTGTCTGTCTGTCTGTCTGTCTGTCTGTCTGTCTGTCTGTCTGTCTGTCTGTCTGTCTGTCTGTCTGTCTGTCTGTCTGTCTGTCTGTCTGTCTGTCTGTCTGTCTGTCTGTCTGTCTGTCTGTCTGTCTGTCTGTCTGTCTGTCTGTCTGTCTGTCTGTCTGTCTGTCTGTCTGTCTGTCTGTCTGTCTGTCTGTCTGTCTGTCTGTCTGTCTGTCTGTCTGTCTGTCTGTCTGTCTGTCTGTCTGTCTGTCTGTCTGTCTGTCTGTCTGTCTGTCTGTCTGTCTGTCTGTCTGTCTGTCTGTCTGTCTGTCTGTCTGTCTGTCTGTCTGTCTGACTGTCAGCCTGGCCGTCTGTTGGTCTTACCGTCTGTCCATCTATCCGTCTGTCCTTCCGTCCGTTTGCTAATCTATCTATTTATCCGTCCGTCCATCAGTCTGTCTGTCATTCTGTCCGTCTATCCGTCTCTTCGTCCCTTTGTCCGTCCGTCTGCCAATCGGCCTATCTGTTCATCAGTCCGTCTGTTTGCCCGACTGTCCGTCTGTCCGACTGTCCGACTGTCTGCCCATCTATCCGTCTATCTATCTTTCTGTCCGTCTGTCCGTCTTTCCATCTACTAATCAATATTGGGATTAATTATTCTAATATTAAAATAAAAACACCGTTACTTTTTGAATAGGTATACATATTTTCCCCTGTAAAAGAGTTAGCACCGCATGCAAATGTCAAACAGATTGCTGTGAATGAAATGTTCAAGTCATCTATATACTACTAAAAGTCAACTTTGTTTACATGTTTGAATATTTATTTGTTTGCCTGATCGAAAATTGTGATATGTTCGACTCTATCTGGAAAGCTGTAAAATGGTATGCAGGTAGAGAATAATTTTTTAATGCAGACAGACTGTTGATCACAAATTTATTTAAAGACGTTAATTAATTTATTGATTTATTCCTATGCAGAATAACCCATTTTTTTTTAAAATATTTGAAAAGCCACTAGACTCGGCGGGACCGTGACGTCACAGGTTTTTGTTTACTCTTTAGTACAATAAAATGGCGGCGTCTATTGAAGAAAATTGTGTTCCCATTCAAAAGTTTAACGCGTTCTAAATCTAATTTTCTGTCGGTCATAACTTTAACAATACGTCCGTTTGCTGTATTTATTACGTTCCAACACTTATATCAATTTTCAACTGTCTTTTTCATTTAGTTTTACGATAAATTTCTCTAGATCTAAAGATCAGCTATCGAAGGAAATGTATGAATCTAGCCTAGAACTAGATCTAGATCTAGCCTAGATGTAGGTCACTAATCACTAGATTCAATGTAAATTCTACATCTAGAATCTATTTCAGGCCTTAATTATTTTATATAAATCTTTGTTTGGCTTATTTAAGATAAAATTTAATTTGAAAGTTAGTACTACTAGACTTATTTTTAGATCTAGATTTAGAATCTATACGCGTAAATCAAGTTGCATAAGGAGACACATAGTATAGTATAAAAATTCACTTGTGACGTCACGAGTAAATAGCTAAAATGGTAGCGTAGTCAGCTCTCATGCAGGAGGCACGGGTTCTAGACCAATATGTAAATGAAATTTTTTTTTTCAATTTTTTTTTTTAGATGTGAATGATAACGTTGCCTATCTGAACTTGGCAAGATACAGGGCAGGTGAAGTAGAGTTCATCTGTTTCTTTGTCCTAAGCATATGAAAGGATAGTGTGGTCAGATACATGCTCGACTGGAATTGTTTTTTAAACGATAAAAACATGTTGTCTGAGACTTGGCAGGACACTGGGCAGGTGAAGTAGAGTTGAGTAGGTCACCTGTGACGTCAGTTTATGAAGGGATAGTCCGAAATCGGTGTTTTCGGTGTTTTTAAAAGATAAAAAACATATATTTGAATGTGGGGTCTGTTTTTTGTGACGATAAGTGACACTGCAGTAGCGTACCGAGGAGGGGGGGGGGGGGCGGTAGGGGAGGGGAGGCGGGGGGTGGGGAGGGGAGGCGGAGGGGGGGGGGAAGGAGGGGTGGGGAGGTGGAGGGGGGAAGGGGGGGGACATATGTTGGGGCGCCAAAATGGTTTGGAAAAATAAATTGATAGGTTGAGGGGGGTTCAAATCGAAAGTTTGAGTGGGGGGGGGTGCACATCAAAAGTTTGAGGGGGGGGGGGGTTCAAATCGAAAACTTTGTCCCCGGGCGCCGGGAAGGGTCGCTATGCCTCTGAGTGACAGACGTGATGTTTTTTGATGGATGACCCCCGAAACCCACAGTTATCCAACGGATGACGGGTATTCTAGTTATATTTATCATTATAAACACTGTAGGGTTTATTCTATTAAAAATGTAATGATAAAATACTTTTTAAAAAAAAAGAGTAGTGTAACTGATTTTAAAACAACATCATTGGATATAAAGTATGGGGTGGTGACAGATGCATCTGACACTTTAAATGCCAAGTTATCCAAATTTTAACCTCATTTCGGAGGTCGGCATGGTCGGGTGGGTAAAACTCATGTTTACTGAACCGAAAAGTCCTGAGTTTGGACCCTGATCTAGCAGTGCAACTTTAATAGCAAACAACAGTCTCGTAGTTTGTTCTTGGTTGGAACAAGACTATGGAGAAAGTAATTCCAGGCCTCTCGCCCTTAAATCCAGGGAGCATATACTATCGTCTATCATTTTATGGAAAAAGTATTATACTGACATCGAAGTAGCGCACACAATCTTATTTACAGACTTGAAAATTTAGAAATGCGCAAAATATTCAACCTTTTATTAGCATTTTTTTTTTGTCGAATTTTGGCCCAAATAATTTGTGGAGCTAAAAGGAGCTAAAGGGTTCTAGAGGTGGTGTTGTACACATGCAATCACTAATGCATTGGTAACTAATCAACAGTTTTTAGCCCTGGTATCTAATTGTTTATCTCATCTCGCGGTTTCTGTCTGTCTCATTAGTGGCGATGATTACAATTAACTTTCTTACACCACCTGAAAACCTCCAGCTGTGTGTGATAAAACTTACCAACTAGTACAAGCAATGGTATAATAGACATCTTGGCAGCTTGCGTGCTTTATCAATAGTCAGCATCATTTACAAAATACAACTGGATAGATTAACATTTGTAAACAAATTATGTCTAAATCTATATTAAAATTAATTTTAAAACAAAAACCTAACGGATTGGGTAGAAGCTGCTGAACCCAAACTAGATATAAAATGTAGATCAAGATCTAGATCTACGTCTATCTAGGTCTAGAAAATATGAATCAAGTTTTAAAAAATGTTATAAATATCATTAGTACTATAAAATTAGATGGGCAGAAGAAATTGTTTATATTTTTAAACGGCCTCTATCGTGTGGATATAAAAATTCCATTGCGTTCAATAAGTCTTGAAAACACGACTTACATTCGGGAAATTCCGTTTATCAGCATTTTTAGCATATTTTGTGAACTGTGATTTTAACAATAAAAACTAATAAACTTTTACCATTTTATGTATATTTTCTACGCTTTTAATCTTCTAATGCCTCAATACTTATTAAAAGTTTCAAAAGTCGTTGCAAAGTAATGGAAATGAATGTTTTAATCTGTAATAAGTAATGGAAGCATTGGCTGATGTTATGATCATAGCCTAAAGCACAACTTTAAATCCTTTGTTCGTTGCGACTTTCTGGTTATTCAAAAATGCAAATCAAACTGGGTGCTTTTTATGAAAGTTAAAAAGATAAACAGTGCCTAATTAAGGAAAGTATTCTGCAAAGATGTCGGATGGATTGAAACTGTCGTTTTTAAACACACACTTTTTAAACATAGTTATCTATTCCTAAGCATTCTCTCCGTCTTGGCTAACTACAGGGAATCACCAAGAATACAATTTTGACTTGAATTTCAAAACACTCCATATGCGTAGTGACTTGAGGACCAGTTTTCATCAGCTAGGTAGGTAACTCATTTCGAAACTGTCATTTATAAATTTAAAAAAAAAGGTTATCTACCTTACCCGAGATTACCAACATTTCGCTGATATTAATTTTGTTTAAACTACTCTCAGCCAACAACGTGACGCCCACTACAAAATATGTGTATTTTATCATACCATCTCTCGATAAATACATAAAGTTGTTTATGATACATTGATGTTCTATTTTTTAAATAAATTAGTATTTGACACACTGTTTTAATACGTTAATCGTCTATAAATAAATCAAGAAAATATCATATTAGCCGCCTAACCATATACGTCATTCTAAAGCTGGGGTCTCCAAGCTACGGCCCGCGTGGTCCTCCCATCCGGCCTGCTGAGATCTTTTTGTCCAAGGAAAAAATGTTTGTTGGAGGTGGCTGAGGAACTTTGCTCAGAACATTCAAAACAATTTGAAAATGTAGTTTTCGGTGCAACTACCGTTGTTCACCGTGTTGCAGACATTGGTGAAAACACTGTGACTCAAATAGCGAAAAATGCAAGCAAGTTTCGCAATTTTTCAATTGCAATGGATGAGTCGCTGGACAGCTGTTCCACCTCTCAACTTCTTGTGTTTATTAGAGGTGTGGATGAAGACATGAACATAACACAAGAGCTGGCTTCCTTACATAGCATGCATGACATTGTTACCGGAGAGGATATATTCAATGAGTTTAAAAAAAAACATTTGCTGATTATAATTGGACTGGACTAACTTCAGTTACCTGACTGTTGATGGAGGAAAGTGGCATAAAAAAAGGCTTGGTTGGACAAGCGGTGCAGATGTGTAATGAGAAAAACATTCTACAACCAATGTTCCTGCACTGTATTATTTATTCACCAGCAAGCTTTGTGTGCTACATATTTGAACATACGCAGTTTAGTGAATCCTGTGTTGAAGATTGTGAATTTATAAGGTCGCATGGACTCTACCATAGATAGTTCAGAGACATGTTGAAAGATACAAACAGAAAATCGCAAGACGAAGTTTTGAGAAAGTTCTGAACAGGGTATTTAAGTTAAGATAGGAAATAGGTGACTTCCTGGAAAACAAAGCAAGCCGCTGCCAATAATGTCTAATGAAAAGTATAGAAATTGGCCTCTGCTGCAAACATAACACGTCATTTAAATTTCCTGAACCTAAAACTACAAGAGAGGGAAATCTAGTTCCTGATCTATACACCCACCTAAAGGCCTTCTGATCCAAACTTGTCATGTTTTCGGGACACGTACAGGCCAACAACTTGACGCAGTTTCAGCAGTGCAAGGTCTTCATAGCTGAAGCAACAGATGTCCCCCAGGTCATTTCCATGCAAGATCATCAAGGACCTCCAGCTGCAGTTTCATTAGCGGTTTGCTGACTTGGATTCAAAGGCAGAAGAAGTGAGACTGTTTCAAAGCCCATTTGAAGCAAATGTGGCCAGTTGCCCGGATGAACTGCAGCTGGAGTTCATTGAATTGCAAGAAAATGACCACCTTAGAGACTAGTTCAAAGAAGGACCAAGGAAGACTCTCCTAAAACTGTTGCATCAAAGTACCTTTCAATTTTTGTAGACATTCCTCGGGGGGGGGGGGGGTTCTACCTGGAAGATTCCTGGAAAAACTCTGGCCCACGAACTTATTTTTGATAGTTAATGCGGCCCTCTGGCTGAAAAGTTTGGCGACCCTTGTTCTAAAGGTTCTTGAAGTTATTGATATATTTGCAACTATCCAATACTCAATACATTTATTTTTCACATCTTTGTTTTTATTTCATGATTAGCTAAGATAGAAGTCATGCGTTTACTTTATTCGCAGTTGGAATTACTAAAATGAAAAACACCAACATAATCCCGTCTTTTATAATTAATCAAAAATGTATTTAGATTTATTGCATTGAAGCAAGCATCAAACATGTAAAATAAATAAATGTTGAATACGCAGGTTTTTGACAAATTTTCGGTGATAAAATTTATAATAGATTATTTTCAAATAAAACTATGTGTAATGTTAACAGTTGACCAAGCACCAACAGATTTGACGCTAAAGGATACTCTGGTAATAGTAAGTGTGTGACAAAAATGAATTTAGTAGAATCTCTACATGAACCAGAAAAAAAACTGTGTGGCTACCTAAAGATTTGGTCACGCCCGTATTTAATCAAATTAAAATAGATCTGTACAAGTCTCAAGTCTATCTTGGATCAGATCAAATAGATTTTGTAAAATACCTTTGCATATATATATATATATATATATATATATATATATATATATATATATATATATATATATATATGTGTGTGTGTATATGTATATATATATATGAATATATATTTATATATATATATATATATATATATATATGTATATATATAAGTTATATATATATATGATATATATATATATATATATATATATATATATATATATATATATATATATATATGTTAATACCAAATGCATATTTAATACGTTATTCCTGTTATAATTTAAATATATATATATATATATATATATATATATATATATATATATATATATATATATATATATACATACCAAATGCAAATTTAATACGTTATTCCTGTAATAATTTAAAGAAAATAATGTAGCTGTAAATTTTTATCATACAGAAGAATGCACTGCTATCGATATTTGGACAAATAAAATCAATAAATAACCCATTTTATTAAAAAAAATGATTTTTATTGCATTATTAGCTACATGATACAAGATTAAGCGATACTAAGATTTTGTGAAGAAAAGCTGGAACTGGAACACACTAATGTCCTTTCTAATCAATGAAGCCTGTTATTATTTTAGATGTTTTTACTTTAGCACTAAAACTGTAAATTTAAGACTGAATAGATTTGTCCTGAGACAATTTTACGTGCTGAACGTCACA